GCAGGTAAAAAGTTTGGATATTTATCCCCTTATATGGGCGGATAGAAACACGCGTACCCACCGGCCTGGTAAAACTCGCTTATCTCCCAAGCGTCACAATCAATGGCGCGGTTGGGTTACCCACGTCCGTATTGATGGGAATCCCGGAATAAGGGGAACACGATCTCTGCTTCGACAGACGTGCCAAGGAAACCGCCTCGCTAAACGCGCTGAGGTGGAACAATAGAAACAATTCGAGTAAAGGCTTGGAAGTGGTGTGACGTTACGCCACAGAATACGTCAGCAGATTGATCTTGTGTAATATTATTCTCTCTACGGTGGTATGTGGAATTTATTTTTGCACAGCCGGACACTATCCTGGTGTTCACAATCTTCTATAAATTATTTGGAGGAGGAACCCGCCTTGCAATGCCAAAGACAATATGCGCGCCAGACTCGTCGTCATTGAAGCCTGGTTCAGGGACTACTGAGGGAGTCCCAGACTAGGGGGTGTCCGGATAGCCGAACTACCATCATCGGCCGGACTCCAAGACTATGAAGATACAAGATTGAAGACTTCGTCCCGTGTCCGGATGGGACTTTCCTTGGCGTGGAAGGCAAGCTTGGCGATATGGATATGTAGATCTCCTACCATTGTAACCGACTCTGTGTAACCCTAGCCCTCTCCGGTGTCTATATAAACCGGATGGCTTTAGTCCATAGGACGAACAACAATCATACCATAGGCTAGCTTCTAGGGTTTAGCCTCCTTGATCTCGTGGTAGATCTACTCTTGTAACCCACATCATCAATATTAATCAAGCAGGACGTAGGGTTTTACCTCCATCAAGAGGGCCCGAACCTGGGTAAAAACATCGTGTCCCTCGTCTCCTGTTACCATCCGCCTAGACGCACAGTCCGGGACCCCCTACCCGAGATCCGCCGGTTTTGACATTGACAGAGTACCCCCCCCCCCCACCGGGTTTTGGTCCTATACCGCAGTTCTTCACGAGGCAAGCACTAGGCCATACACCAACAGCAACAGTTGCAGAGGTGCAAATTGCCCCAGCTCTGGCCGCATCTAACATAGCAGTTGGGGAGGCTGTGGCGTCTCCAGATGGGCTCGGCGGCGGCGGGACTATAGGACAGGAGCAGAACCGAAGACAGGAGGAGCGTCAGATCAATATTGCAGAAGAAGCTTCAGGCCAGAGGATTACTGTCCTGGGGAAACGAACTGATCGGGAACAAGATGAAGGAAAGTCCACCGAGAGCAACACTGGAAAGGAAGAAGGGGACCACAAGAAGGCAAGAAATGAGTCGGAAGTAGCGGGAGACGGAGACACTAGTGCGTATGGTGGTCAGGAAGCGACCGACCAAGGGGCTGCCGGCATAATGACGGGCGCCAAAGGAGGTGCCCGTCAGGGGCCATGACGGTCCTAAGCTGGAACTGCCGGGGACTGGGGCAACCCCGGACAGTTCAGGAGCTGGTGTGGAAACAAATGACGGCAACCTGACACCTATTAAGACTGCGAGGAATAGCCCAGGAATCTCAAATCTTCTTTCCGCAGATGATAGCCTAATTTTCTTTAAGGAAAATGTTGTACAGGCACAAGTTATGAAGAAGGTGTCGGCGTCTTTCCAGCGAGGCACGGGGCAATTGCTGAGCGAGAATAAATGCTCCTTACTTTTCAGCGAGTGGTGCCCGGAAGAATCTAGGGAAGAGATAAAGAGAGTTCTGGGAGTGGTTTCCTCTTCCTTTGAGAGCAAGTATCTGGGTTTTCCAACTCCAGAAGGGAGGATGAAGGACGAGAACTTCCAACCGATCTTGGATAGATTCAGAAAGAGGTGTAGTGATTGGTCGGGAAGATTTATGGCACACGCAGCAAAGGAAGTACATGTCAAATCCGTCGTCCAGGCTCTCCCCTGCTTTACTATGGGGGTCTTCCTACTCTCAAAAGGCTTTTGCGAGAAATATGAGAAGATGATTCGGGATTTCTAGTGGGGGGACGAAGAAGGGCATCGGAAGGTACATTGGATGTCATGGGAACGCATGACATGACCGAAAAGGGCAGGTGGTATTGGCTTTAGGGATATACACATGTTCAACATTGCGCTGCTTGCAAAGCAAGGGTGAAGGCTACTAGAAAATCCGGACGGTTTGTGTGCGAGAGTGCTCAAGTCAAAATACTATCCACACGGAAATCTCCATGATACGGTTTTTGCCTCCGACGCGTCCCCCGGTATGGAGAGGAATTGAGGTTGGGCTGAAGCTCCTAAAGAAAGGCATCATCTGGTGGGTGGGGGATGGAAGAAGCATTCAAATCCGAAAAGACCAGTGGATCCCTCGGAAGGAAGGACTAAGGACTGCATCTTTTGTTAGGAGGTCCAGACTGCGGTGGGTGAACCAGCTCATGCAACCAGAGAGTAAAGAGTGGAATGTGGAGCTTATAAGGCAAATTTTCAACCCCTTTGATGCAGATGAAATATGCAAATTATCCATTCCAAGGTCTAACGCAGAAGATTGTATTGCTTGGCACTATGAAAGAAACGGGGTTTTCTCAGTTAGAAGTGCATATAAACTGGCCGCTGCAACACATGGGCAGACCCGACAGTCCCCATCTAGCTCGTCAAGGGAGCCTGACGATAGGAGCATCTGGGACCTCATCTGGAAGTCGAATGTCCCACCAAGAGTGAAATTTTTTGGTTGGCGAGTTGCCACCAAAACGCTAGCCACGAAGAAGAACAAGTGGAGGAGGACCTTGGAGCTGGATGCCACCTGCAACATCTGTGGTTGTGGCGAGGAAGACGAATTCCATGCGGTGGTATCATGCACTAAAAGTCGAGCTCACAGATATGAAATGAGGAAAGAATGGGAACTCCCGCCCGAGAACTCTTTCCGGTACACGGGCCCGGACAGGCTGCAACTGCTATTAGGGACAGCATCAGAGGACGTGAGGGCGAGGGTGATGATGCTTCTTTGGAGGGGATGGCATCTACGTGATGATTGTGTCCATGGAAAAGGCAAGGAATCAATTGGCCATTCTGTCCAATTTCTCCTGAAATACGAGGAAGAAATACAGTTGGCAAAAACCACTACATATCTCTTCGGAGGCCCACTGCCAGTACTGGAGTGCAGAGTGCTGATCAAATATTAATGAAATGGACTGCCCCAGATCGAGATGCAGTCAAAATAAACTCCGAAAACCTATCTTCCGGACAGTGGTCTATGCTGGGCGGGAGCAGTTGCGAGGGACTGTCGAGGACTGGTGCTCATATCAGTTGGAAAACAGATTGGCAGCGCGGCGAGCGTGGAGGAAGCAGAGGCTAGAGCTGCTTCGGTTGGGATGCAGGCCTTGGCCGGAATTTACAGAGGGCCAATGGTGCTAGAGGTGGATTGCATGGCGTTAGTTAATGAACTCAAAAAGGGCTCCCTGAAATCTGAATCTATCTCCTTGTTTTGGTGTGCTACGGGATATCATCGATATCTCGGAGAGTTTTACTTCCTTTAGGCTGTGTTCGGTTGAGAAGGATTCGAAGGGGGTTTGGCAGGGATTGAAGTGGATTTAATCCCCTGCAAGTCAAAACCTCCCCAAATCCTCTCCAATCCCCTTGTGGTGGGGTGTAACCGAACAAGGCCTCAAGGTCATTCACGTTAGAAGGAAGTGCAACACACTGGCCCATGAATTTGCAGCAGAGGCAAGATAGAAGGGTGACATTTTCCTCGCAAAAAAAAAGAAGAGAAAAGGGTGACATTTGTTGACACAAGACTGCATCTATTTTTGTTTCCCTTTTTTTATTTATGGAAACATGTGTATGTTTTTATTCGCATGTGACATGCCGCATGTACACATGAGCTTCCTCACTACTACAAACCAATCAGCAAAACTGAACCTATAAATGATCGATCGACCTAGTATATGAATCTGTATCAAAATTCTGAATCAACTACTACTAGTATCTATGTATGTATGTATGTACACCGTTCTCCTGCGTCGATGAGATCAGACGACGGCCGCGGCGGCAGCCAGCAGGGGAAGCAGCAGCGCCAGGGAGAAGGAGGAGAGGCGGCTGCCGCCTGAGCCGGCCTGCCTCGGCGTCACCGGCACCGCGCCGGGGTACGGCCTCGTGTCGCTCTGCCGCGGCTTGATACGGGTCGTCGGCGACGGCCCCGGAGCCGCGCCGGGGCTCCCGCCCTGGCCCTCCGCCTCCATGTCCTTGTAACCTGCAGTCAATTTAGTTGGGACAGTCAAGCAACAATGATCGATCGGTATGCAATTCTTTCATCAGGTATACAAATACAATTCAGGGAGAATGATGATGAGCTTACAGTCGAACTGGTGCCAGCCGAGGACGGACCTCTCCCGGTCGAACACCACCTTGAGGCCGGTCATGAAGTTCTCTGCATGTTTGTTATCAGCGATGAAGGAATGAGCAACCGGAGACAGACAGACGGGACGATGGAGGAATTGACCGACGAAGAGAAGGCTGCTTACGGCCGATGATGTCGATGGTGATGTCGTTCTTGAGCACGGCGAGGCAGTATCCGACGGCGACGATCCGGCCGTCGCTGGTCTCGCCGGCGATGACCACGAAGGGCCGGGTTACCGGGAACACGGCCCCGCCCCTGGTCGTCAGGCTCACCTCCGGGACGAACACCTCCGTCTGCTCGCGGCCGAGCTGGTAGCAGTACTCGAAGGGGATGGAGGCGCTGAGGTTGGCCCTCTTCTCGCGCACCTGGGAGTCGAAGCTGGTGGCCAGCTCCGTGTAGGCCGGGTCGTTGAGGTACGTGAAGGAGGTGCCGGAGTCCACGACGGCGGCGAACTCCGCCGCCAGCTACTTCCCCTCCACGGTCATCGCCGTCACGCTGATGTTGTACGTCGGGCTGCACACACAAGAAGAAAAGTCGCCGATCAATCGACCCGTACCTTAGCTCTAGTTTGACTTTTCACACCGACTGACATGTGGGACCCACGCGTCGGTGTCATGCTAGTGATGGAGTGCCTAAATACCATTGACTAAACTTACTGCGTGTTCCGGACGGTGAAGGGCGTCTCGGCCTGGCCGCGGCGGCCGGCGTCGCCGAAGTTGATGCGGCCGAGGCCGTCGGGGCTGAAGCACATGGAGAAGCTGTCGGAGGCGACGAGGCCGGCGGCGTGCAGCACGCTGGGCACGGACACCTTGTCCATGCCGAGCCCCAGCAGGCCGTCCACGGCGGCGCCGTCCAGGAACGCGCCCGTCTGCACCTGCCCGCACCCGAGCACTACGGGCGCCCTCACCGCCGTCGACGCGCCCCCGGCCTCCCGGCTGAGGTGGAGCACGTCCTCCACCAGCACCCCGGAGGAGGAGGTGTTGGCGGAGACGTACCTGACGCTGTACGGGCAGCTGGTGCTGTTGGTCGCCGCGCACGCGTTGGGCCGCTCGCACAGCGCGTGCTCGCAGGTGACCGCCTTGCTCGTCGACGACTTCCCGGGGCTGTACGGCCGGAGCTCCGGCCCGCCGCGCAGCTCCGAGGCGTTGGCGGTGGCCGCGCACTGCTTGCAGTCGCAGGGCACCCAGAAGAGGTCGCTGCCGGTGTCGAGCGCCACGAGGAACGTCGCGTTGGGCGTGCCCACCGCCACCTCCGCGTAGTGCAGCGACCCGTCGAGCCGGAACGTGAGGTTGCCGCTGGCGAAGGTGAGCAGCCCCCCTTTCCCGTCGCCCTCCTCCGCGAGGCCGCGGCGGGCGAGGTGGGCGCGGTCGTGGCGGGACAGCGCGGCGTAGTACTCCGGCGTGCCCTCGGCGTCGGCCCACCACGCGGCGCCCGGGTGGCCCCGCGCCTCCGCCCACCGCCTCACCACTGGCGACGACCGGTGGTGCAGGTCGAACCCGATTCCGGACGCCTCGCCGAGAACTGCAGACACCGCGGCGACGGAGACGGCCACGGCGACGAGCGACAGACAGGTGGAGCGAGCCATGGTGGGGAGAGTAGGCGTGCGGGGACGGCAATAGGAGGACGGTTGGTGCACGGGGCTTAAGAGGAAGAGGGGGACGCGCATGGCGGCGAGGAAGTCAAAGTCTTGTGTGGTTTACCCCGGCGCGACGTCAACGGTGGGTGGTGGATGGCCGGCGGGGGCAGGGGAGCGGCGACGCGGCTGGACCGACGGACGTGGCCGAGTCCGGGAGCTCCTCAAGTGTTCGACAGTGGTGCCGGCCTGCTTCTTTTTCCATGAGAAGACTTGACCGGACGTGGCCCACATCACCGCGTGTTGTCCGGTTCAGAGCTGTATGTGGCTGCGAGAGTTCACTGAACCTTCCTTCCTGGTGCGCTGCTAGGCAAAAAAAATTAAAGCAAATTGTAAATTTGTTGTGAGCTCATCGTGGAACGCAGCTGCACCACGCAGGACGTACTCCCTCCGTTCCTAAATAATTGTCTTTCTAGAGATTTCAACAAGTGACTACATACAGAGCAAAATGAATGAATATACACTCTAAAACATGTCTACATACATCCGTATGTTGTAGTCCATTTGAGATGTTTAGAAAGACAATTATTTGGGAACGGAGGGAGTACTATGTAGTGGGCAGAGCGAAATCTAGCCATGGGAGAGGATAGATTGATAGATAAAAGATCGTAGTGTACGAATGTCAACAGGTTGGACAGAGAGGATATATAGGTAGCATCCTTGTTCCAGCCAAAAAATCATTACAATTGAAGAGACCACGATAGCTAGGCAGCAAACGGTGCTAGACCATCATGATCCCTGAAAATCATTCCAGCTGTCGCAGGGGCATCCAAAGGTGAGAAAGAACCATCAACCGGAGCAGGCCAGGGTACATGACTGGTGCATTTCCTCGGGTGGCACAGCCGGAGGTCGACCCCGCGCGCCACGCAGCTTTGAGGCATTGGCGATGGCCGCACACTATTTACAGTCACAGGGTACCTTGAAGAGGTTGCCGCCGGTGTCAAGCGCCACAAGTAGTCCTGGCCATGGGCAGCCCGGCCCGAGAAAAACCCAACCCGGCCCGGCCCGACGATGCTCCCGGCCCGGGCCCAGGCCTAGATTTTGAGCACGAAGGCCGGCCCGGACCCGGGCCTGTCGTTTTCGCGTTTTCTTGAAGGACGGACCGGGCTGGCCCGAAGCCCGACGGGTTTTTATGGCTCGGGCCCAGAAAACAGGCCCGATGGGAGGGCCGGACCGGGCCCGGGTTTTTTGCATCAGGCTTGGCTAGCCCCGGTCCGAAGTATGGCCAGGTATAGCCACAAGGAACGCCGCGCTGAGAGCATCTCCAGCCGTTGGCCCCCCAGGGGGCGGCTAAAATCGTCGCCTGAGGGCGAGCCGGCGCAAAAGACGGCCTGGGGGCGAGTTGCCCCCCAGTCGCCGTCCCCAGGGCCGCCCCCAAGCGCGTCTAATTTTTTCAAAAAAAAACCGTTCAGCGAAGTTCGGTTAAACACGGCTAAATTTCGGCAAACTTTGGCATATATTACATGTTCGACGCGTTTACATAACTAATATAACTAAAAAAATCGCTAAACGCGGAGTAGTCGCCGTCGTTGTCGCCGTCCTCACCGTCGTTGTCGGCGGCCTTCTCCTCCTTGACGCGGCCGTCCCGGCTACACCCCTGCCCGGCGTCGCCATGGTGGACAGGTGCCGGCGGCGCGTCGTCGTCGCTGTCGTCGAGGTAGACAACTCCTTCTTCGCGGCCCCGGCGGCGCTGCTCGAAGCGCCGCAGTGCGGCGACCTGGCGCTCCCTCTCCATCCTGAGGAAGTCCTTGCTCGCCCATTTCAGGGCCGCATCGTCGTCGAGCGCCACCTCGCCGGACTCCGTCTTCACGGCGGGGAGACCCGGCTCCGTTTTCACCGTCGTGGGCCCGGACTCCGTCTTCGGCTTGACGAACCGCGGAGGAGCCGGCGAGGGGGCGCGCTGGCCGCCTTCGTTGATGACGATGCCGGCGCTGCGAGTGCGCCGGCCGAGCGGCGTCTCCGCCGCGGGCATGGTCTTGACGTCGAGCAGCGCCGGAGTGCCGGAGGAGTGCGAAGAAGACAGCGACGAGGAGGAGGAAGACGACGAAGAGACGAGCCTCCTGGGCAGCCATTGCCCGGCGCGTCGGCGGCGGGGCGGGGCCGCGGCCGCCGGGAGAGGGTGCGTCAGTTGCGGCTCGTTGCCGCCCTCAAGGTGTGCCAGTACGCCGCCGAGCGTGCGGCTGGGGACGCCCCACCAAATGCGGTGGCCCTCGCTGTTCTGTCTGTCGCCCACCACCGGCGTCCCGTTGGTGGACGCCAGCCTTTCTTCCTGACGGCGCTCGAAGTACGCCGCCCATGCCGAGTGGTTGTCGGCGGCGTACTGGGGGAGGGTGCGCTGCTCATCGGTGAGGGAGGCGCGAGCCAGCTCAACCTCGTCGGCGAAGTAGGCGGTCCGCGCCGCGGGGTCGGGTAACGGCGGAACGGGTACTCCCCCGTTGCTGAGCCGCCACTCCACGGCCCGGCGTGCATGTCTGGCGGGGCCGGGATGTTGGCCTCGAATAGGAGCCACGACTCCTGTTCGCGGAATGAGCGGCGGCCGAAGCCGTTGGTCGCCGCCTCATCGCCGGGGAAGCGTTCCGCCATTGGGGGAGGGAGGGCTCGGAGGAGGCGCACGGGAGAGGGAGAGGGAGGGCTCGGCGGCGGCGGTGCACGGCAGAGGGGAGGGAGAGGGCTCGGCGGCGAGGGGCTGGCGTGGGCTGAGGCGAGGAGGGCGCCCTCTTATATAGCCGCGCTCGTATGTACGCGTGGCGGGAGGGGAGGCGACGCCGCGCCGCCCCGTGACGCGCCGCCCGTGAGGAATCAATGGCAAGGCTGACCGTCGGCGGCAGCGCGACAGCCTTGGCATTGATTCCTGCGGGAACCGAGGCGATGAGGGCGACGAAGCGCCTCTCTCGCTGACTAGGCGGGCCCGCGTATGCTTCGCGCCAAAACCACTCGCCCCGGCGCCCCCGGACGCCCCCCAGCGCGCCGGGTTCGGCCTGGGTCCGCCGGCGCTGATTTCAGCCCAAGCCGGCAAAAATCGGGCTTCTGGGGACGCGACTGAGCCGTTTTTCGGCGCCGATGCAAAAAAAGCGCATGGGAAGGCCGTCCTGGGGGCGTGGCTGGAGATGCTCTTATGTCTCATCGGCAGAAGCAAAACGGCGACGTGGCTGACTATTCGTTACAAACTGAGCTGTTTGTACGTGAAAAAGAAGAGAAAATGGATCCAAACCTACTTTTTTCATGACACGGCTTGACTTTGTGGCCGGCAGTCTGGGGGTGGCCTACATGACCGCGTTATAACAGTATACGTACCGTCCAGCAGAACGAAAAGCTAACGATCCATGACCATGACGTAGCTTGACTTTTGCACGAACATTTCATTCCTGAAACTAGGGTGTGTTGTCCGGTTCAGAACCGTAGTTGTTGGACCTTCTTTTTTTTTGGCAAATTAGATTTTTTTTTAAACTTAGTACAGACGTAAGCATTCATATACACGTGTATATACTCACCCCTATGAAGCACACTCGCACAACCTATCTATATGAGCACCTTCGAAAAATTGAACCGATATATCATCTTGAAATTTACGAAATCACTGTAGGCATCTCGTCGCCGACGGGAACGTCTTCTTTCACTGAATGCGCATCATCAGAAATCCTGAAATAAATTTATGAATAAATACGAGCACCAAGATCTGAACACTGATGGACGGAAGATACCATAGTCTCTCTAACTATCCAACCACACGTTAGTTCGTGGCAAATCAGTTGTTGAAGCGTTCACTGAACCGGGCGGTCTGCTGGGCGAAAGAAGATCTCGATCGAGCACTACTATATGATTATACTGAAATTTAATACTGAGAGAACAAAAGTAAAGAAATGGTGTACAAATGTCAACTCGACCTCGGCGGGTACAGGATATATATCGTTGTTCCAGATTTAAAATAATATATATCGAATCTAGACAGAGTCGTTGACCATTAGAAACGACAAGGTCGATCTAGCTAGCGCGCTATCCTAGGGACATCAACATGCATATGCAACAGTTGTCATAGCATCCCGGCCGATCAACCGAGCCCCTGGTTTTAATTTCTTTTCCCAGTGAGAAGGTCTAACAACATCTAAAGTTAAACTTAGCAAATCAGACCCCTCAAACATCAGCGGACGTGTCCGGGCGTGTTCACGGACACCAAGGGGTCAAGTCTTAAATTTCCTTTCTCCCACCCGTAATTTCTTTGTTTCTTTTTAGTCTGTATATAAGATTTAAAGTCAAACTTTGTCAACTTTGACTAAATTTATAGGAAAAAAATATCAAGATTCACTATATGAATTCAATATTATTAGTTGTGTCATGAAATTAATTTTCATACCATATAGTTTTAGTATTGTAGATGTTGGTATTTTTTTTACCAATATTGGTCAAACTTTACAAAGTTTGACTTTGATCAAATCTTATATGCCGACTAAAAAGAAACAAAGGGGATACATCTCAATTAGTATGCCTCAAATTCATACAAACTCATGCAACTACGTAAACAATGTGTACACACATCGTTCGACTACTACATCACAACAAGTCATCGGACTATCAAAATCTAGCATGTTTGGCTATGATGGAGAAGATCATCCATGGCTGCCCTTGCCCTTCCCGGCGCCATTATCGTCCTTCTCGCGGAAGTACCGATCAAATACACAGTAGGGATCGAGCCAGATCCGCTTGTCGCCGGAGTTGTCCGCCCCGTCGCAGTCCTCCTTCTCCTCCTTGGGTGGCAGTCCGGCCGTGGCACTGACCGCCCGATTATGCTCTCAGGCGAGGGCACGCGTGTTCATTCGCTGTCGCTTCTTTACACTGCGGGCATGGATGACTTCCTCCTATGTGGCCGTCCGCGGGCAGCGAGGCGGGCTTCTGCCGCCCTTATCCTCTCTTTCCCACACGGGCACACCGGTCCCGGTGGGACTCACACTCTGTTG